GACAAGCACTGTGGCAATGGGACAATTAAACCAGACATTCAAGGGGGGCAGGGGAAGAATGAACTGGGGGGAGGGTAGAGAAATCAGTGCAACAATGAATTAATGAAAACCCAAAATCTCTGTAAATGTTAAACCTAGTAAAATTTAGTAATAATAAAGAAGGGGGGAAATGTAGATTTAAGTATAAAACAAAATCAAGCCATAAATATGCTTCAGAATTTAAAGCAGTGTCATCCCCCTCTCCATTCCCCTTACGGGCTCCAAATTCTCAATTCATGAAATTTGGGTTAGATATAGCTCAGCACTCATGAAAACAAAGTTATCTTTCAGTGTTTTCTGTTTTACTGTTCCATGGTGAACTCAAAACTTCTCAAACTTTGATATAAACACAAATAACTTATGGATTTTGTAAACAGGTAGATTCTAGACCAAATATTGGGTAAATTCTGATATTCAGTTTTTCATTTCCCAGCTGATACCCTTGTTGCTGTTTTGGACACTTGAAATTCTAAGAAGGTGGTGAACTCCTTTCTCCCTTGGAAAAGTGACTCTGAGAAATTAATTCCATGAGGCAGATGTGAGTCAGCCATTCGCCAACCAGAATTTTCTCTAAGTTATTAGGGTATTACAGATGATTTTTCATCTTCACTTATGGGATAATCTTACATAGTTCATCCAACATGAAAAGAATAATATGAAAATAGAATAAAAGATGAGAGAAAAAGAATGTATTTCCAGGGTTAATAGTAAATGCTATCAAGGACTTCTTTAAAGAACTCATGTAAAAAGATAATAAAGACTAAGATTATGACTGGACCAAATCATGGTATTTGCATGAGAGCTCTGGTGGCCTAGTGCATAGAGTTAAGGCAAGTAGTTCAAATTCACCAGCCTCCTCTGCTCCTCCCATCTGAAAATCTGCTGGAGGGGCAGCTATGAGTTAGTTGTGACTCAACAGCAATGAGTAACTTTTTTGATGTGCAAGTTGGACAAAGAATAAAGAAAACTGGAGAATCAATGGCTTTGAATTGTAATGTTGAACTTTGCTTAGTATGAAGTATATCATGGATTACCAAAAGAAAGCTTTAGAAGTGCAATCAAGGATAGTGAACCAAGGATAGTGAAACTTTGGGCATGTTATCAGGATAGCCAGTCCTTAGGACTGGTGAAAAGGTGGCAGTGCAAAAGACAGCAGAACCTTAAACAAGATGAACTGATACAGTGACTGCAACAACAGGCCCAAGCATAGTGGGGATTGTGAAGCAGCAGGATTGAACATCTGTTGTAGATAGGATCACTATGAAAGAGTTGAAGACACTATTTGGATCCCTGGAACCCTATGCGATTGAAATTGTTTTTCCTCTGAAAATCTACTGAATATATTGTGTTTTGACCTATTAAAATGCAAATCCACTGCATTCAAGTGAATTCTAATTCATAGTAAGCCCTATAGGCCAGGGCAAAATTACTTTATAGGGTTTCCAAAGCAGTGGTCCTTGGGGCTATCTTTTCTTTTCTTCCTCCTCCAGTTCTTGGCATATCGGGACAGATCAGTCCTTAAGAAAAAAAATATGCTGAGGAAGGTGGAGGGTGAGAGAGAGGAAGATACTTAATATGATGGATCAACTCGGTGACTCCAACATCGGGCTCAAGTATGTCAGAGATTTTAAGGATGGAGCAGAATAAGGCAAGATTCAGATCTGTTGTTCTTATGGTCAATCTGAATTGTAGTGGACTCAATGGAACAAAATAGTTCTTAGGGAAGTAGATGCCCACATTTTTCTCTTGAGTTCCTGTTCAAATTGGCTTATAAATGAGACCAAAAATACTACCAAACTTTACCAATTGCCATAACACTTAGACATTATTTTAGAAAGGAATGTATTCATCAGACATTATATGTATGACAGTAATCTGGAACAAGAAATCCATTACAGTGGGGACTATGATAAGGAAGAAGGCATGAGGAGGGAAGAAAATGTTCAACAATGAATGAAAACCCAACCTTTCTTTAAAACTTAGTGAGTTAAGTGAAAGAGTAATTAGTATTAAAATTTTTAATACATAAGTAATTTTCTTTGGTAGAAACCTATAGCCAGTTTTTATCCAGAATGGCTTAAACTTTAATTGTAGTGTATGCTTGTATATGTTACTGATAAAGATTCAAATAAAACTTCAAACTATTTTACAAAAAGGAAAACAAAACAAAACACTTTATTTTCCACAAAGAAGAGCAACAGGAAAAAATGAAATAATTTCCCACATAGTTCTTAAAACAGAGCCTACAAGGACATAGTCAGCACCAAATAAAAAAAGAGGGGGATTACAAAACAGCCATAGAATATAATCTATAAAGCAAACATTTAATATTGCACTTGGTTTTGCTAACATTTTGGATTTTACTTTTCTCAACTGAAAAATCAGGAATCTACCTTGAATACTGGAATACAACTGTGAGCCTCACATTTTATGTCAGGAATTGACCAATATTTAGTAAAGAGTAAAATAATGCCTTAATAAACATATATCCTAATGGAAAAAATGAAACTTTATTTTATAAAGTTTTATAAGTGAAAATTTTTATCACATTTTATTTTGTGATCCAGTGCCAATTATAATATTGGTCATTCTTGCTTCATGTGTTACTTATATAAGAGTACGTGGTTGTAAGTATTCCAATGCTATGCATATCAATAATTGTTCCCTAGTTAGTCAAACATGAGAGAAAAGGAGATTTTTTTTTTCTGACAATCCCCCCCAAACAAAAATAAAACCACCAAATGCCCTTTATGCCAAATATTCCATTAGCTTCTTTTGAGGGGGACATTCACAAAATGATTAACAGTAATAAAAAAATATTTCACCCCCATTTCCTTATTATTTAGTATTAGTTTGCTTACGGGAGCCCAAACCCTTTAACAGAATCACTTAAAACGCGATTCATTTTTACATTTGGGCTTTCTTCACCCTGTCAGCAGTTTTCAAACATGAATTATCTTCCATGTTTTCTTAAAGGCCACTTATGGAAAAGCCTATTAGTTTTGTATGAAGCTTTAAGACAGTATTTAAACCAGGTCAAGCACCAAGCCAGAGTTACTATTAATTTCAGCCACTTTATATTAACTGTGGGATTAAATGGCAGGATAGATGTTAACATCCATTTCACACACATGTTGTAATATCAGAGATGCCGGTTTTCACTAAAAATGTCAGAGCTCAATTTCTAATAAAAAAAAAAAAAGACACTTGATATCTTGCAAAATGTAATTACAAATGCTGGTATATTTATGAGCCAACTGTCAATCTCTTTAAAATAAATTCAAATTTGTTGATGGGATCACTCTTTCTTTGATATAGACATGATTATTTACATACATGCAGCATGTATAAACAATTATCTTTTGGATAAGGAGTGCTCTTGGAGGTTTAAGAAAAGGTCCTAACAGGGTAAAAAGTATTTTCATTAAAAAAAAAAAAATCTTAATTACCCCAGCACACATGGCACTTTTAATTTTGAATTTACACATTTTCAGAAAAAAACCCTGGGTTTTCATGCTGCCAACTTAATGACACTGAGCTCTCTAGTTATGACTTTAACATATTCTTGTTCATTAAAGAGCTTTCCTCCAGCAAAATTTTCAACATGTGTTAGAAGTAATGAACTCTGTTATGAAAAGAAATGCATTGTCCCTTACTTTCTCTGCTGATTAGAAACGTTTATACTTCCAAAATAAAAATAAAAATAATTCTTAAGAGCATCAGCCCTTCCCTCTGCTGGTGCCTGCCATACTGCCTTCCTTTAATTCTTAGCTCTGCTAATTCGTCTCATATGTATCATGATAAAAAGGGAATGTGGGTGGGTTATCACTTTTGTGTATGTCCCTTTTCCAAATTTCCCTCTCTAAAAAGCCAACCAAACAATAACAACGACAACAATTGAACAGAACAAAACAAAACAAAAAACAGTGCAACAAAACACAAATAGCATTCCAACAGTTTGGCAAGTGATGCGTTCACCTGAGATTAAGTGATTTTAGGCAGTCAGTAACAAAATGCTGCTTTGCTGAAATAGTAGAAAGGCAACAAATTCTTAAAAGAAACCAAGAAGGTATACAATCTTGACAAAGTCTCTTATTAGCTTCCTCCTCTCATCTTTTTTTCCACTCATCTGTTGCGTATCTACTACAGTAGGCTGCAAAACATACAGCAAGAAGGATTGGCTTGAAGGCATTTGATGTTTGTAAATAAATCCACAAATAGGATCCAAGCTGAAGAGGTGATACATGGTCAGCCTAGAAGGACAATTCTGAGCATGTGCATACGCAGGTAAAGTCCAGGCTATATTAAATAAAAAAAAAAGTCAGTGCGTATTTTGTTGGTTGTTTTTTTTTCCATGTTAAAAGTTTCTTCAAAGCTTTTCTTCTGTTCTTGTTGTGCTGGCCACAAACAAGTTTTAAAAGAGGATCAACAGTCTGGTGTAACTGGGGAGGGTGGGAAAGCTGTAGTGACATCGAACCGCACAATGTAAGCATTGAGCATGTGCAAATTTTCAAATCAAAAGAAGGACAACATCCCTCTTTTACAACATGGTATCTTGACACATATGACCATAGGCTAAGAAGACTGCTCTTAGTATGTGCCAGTTTTAAGAGAAAAGCTTAGATCTTCAAGCATGTTGGAGCAGTCTCAGAATGTTGCTGTTGGCTTCTAAAGCATGATCGCTGGTTGTTTCGTGTATTTGCCATTTTTTTCTGGGCAAAAGCAATTCCACTTCCTCTGAAAACGTGTCTCCAAGATACTTCCTCTGTCCTCAGCCAGGAAGAGATAGTTCGGAACCCATATCAACTTGATTTAAACAAGTATTCGTTCAACGAGAGGGGCATGATGGTCTATCTTCTGTTGACTGGTCAGGGTTTGGATCAATCTAGAAAGAAATGAGAATAATTAAGAAAATAGAAAATAACTCACAGTTTGAATCCTAGTTAAGAACACAGACCACCTGGCTGCAAATTATTTGTGCTCAATTATTACCTTTCATCTCAGATGTGTTTTGTGGTGAAGAAAAAGGTGCTGATTTACTTATAAAATGCCAGATACTCATTCAGTACAATAATACTTATAAAGGTACGCCAAAATAGTTTTCTATTTCACAAAAACCAACAGTAAAATTTTATCAGAAAATGGAAATGTTTACTTATCCTGGTGGTGGCTATGTGACCTAGTAAACTCATAGGTTTAATATATAGATCTAAGGGTCTTTTTAGTATCTCTCTAGAGACATTTTTCCTGACCATTGTTGGTTCATTTGAAAATAATTTTGTAACAAATGTCAGGTGAGTGAAACTTATTTTGCTATTCATTTAAAATGTATGTTGTATAGCAAGAATACTCAAATTAAGGAGAAATAATTGACTTGATAAGACAGACAAAAAGTCAGGGGAAAAAAATGTTACAGCAAAATCTTTTACAAGTGGCAGAACTGATGTTTTTGGTACCCAGAATAAAATTTATGAATTGAGATAAGATAGGAAAAATTATGTCTAAAGATTTTCAAAGAACAAATTCTGAATATCCAATTAACAAAAAGTGGATCTCATATTAACTGCATCCAAAAGAAAATAAATTCTTCTAGTCATAGTGCTGGAAAAAATAAAGAATTCCTTTTCTGTCTAAATTGCAGTAAACAATAGAAAACCAATTTATTCTGTGCTTTTTTTTACTCAAATCACAATAAAAAAGTTAATATAAAAGTATTTTGGTATTAACCTAAAACTTAGGCCAACTTTAAAGCTTTTTATAATGTGAACTATACCTATGTATTAATTTTTACATTTCCTTAAATTCCTAGGTCCCTTGTTCCAACTCATTTCCTTTACACAAACTTCCAGTCTAGACTGCTTTACTATTTGAGGACTAGTTATTTCTTAATGTTGTCACTTAACAGTCACCTCTTCAAAGAAGTACTTTTGGACTCCTACGGCCCAGTAAATGGATCCTCATACTGTGTAACTTTAATATTGCTATGAATAATTTACTTCAAACTTGAAATTTTCTCAAGTAAAATGATTTAAACACAGTAAGGTGTAATTGCCACAAATGAAATGAAAATAATCTAATAGCACTGAAATGTTTTTAAGATGTTTTCATAAATATACTCACTCTCTCTCTCTATAGATATATCTTTTACAATATGTAAGAATTGAGAATAGACCAGTTTTTTTACTATATAAATGCTCGCAAGAATTCCAACTATTTTTATTGATGCTTTAAATGAAGAATTCTTTCTTTAAATATGCAATTATTTCACCATGAAGTTAGATCAATCCAATTTCTTCAATAAGATAACTAAATATTTTTGTGTAAAACTTAGTTACTTTAGGTTAAATCTATTGTGCTACAAAGGTGGGTGGTTTAAATGTACCAGGCACACTGTGAGAGAAAGATGGGTAATCACCTCTTATGCAATTTACTGCCTCTGGAAACCTGGAGAGTCAGCTATGGATCAGTTCCTACTTGCTGATACACAAGAACAATCTTTCTAAGTTTTTCTTATTTGCTGTCCTGGTTTGTTTTTCACAAAAATCAAGATATAAGTATGTGAAAAAAAAATGTACAATGCTGTTTTCTCAAGAGAACCAGCCTTTTTTACACTTGTGAAGTTTGTGCTTACCTCTGAATAAAGAGGTGGAGGCAAGAATCTGAACTCCTGGATATATGCAAACAATGGTCCTTGAAGTGCTCTCTCAAAGTCATCACAAGCACTGCCTGGTACAAGATTATTCCGCCTTTGTTCCTCTGTTACCACTTCTGCATAACTTGGTGGTGCTGTAGGAAAAAGATACACGCAATTCGAACAGCATGTTCTTATGCATGTCAAAATATACAGAATAATAGGTATTAAAAAGAAGTGTCAAGGTAAAATAGTATTTGTTGATTAAAACTAGCGAGACATACTTGAGCGATATATTAGGGGCACATCTATTCACTTTTTAGGGAAAAGATACATGTTTTTCTGGGGTCACATATATCAGAAGCCAAACTATGTTCTTAAGAAGAGCAATAAGGAATTGGTTTAGATGTGTATTATCAAATTACCTTCAGGTCTTTCGGGTAGGGATAAGCCAAGCCAGTTCATATTCATGCTACATTGACTGCTCACACTTGAGGTTCTACTACCAAATGGATGTAGAGGAATAGTACCGATGACAAGTGGCAAATTAAGAAATAAATCCATAGCTCCAGGAATATCCACATATACCTAAAGAGTTAAAGGATATAGTAAATGTAAAGCATCAAATGCTATTTCCTTTTTAAAAATGAATAACTCAATTTTAATGTTATTTTAGGATGTCATTTACTTCATTATTTAGATATATCTGATAGACAAGAAAATTTTCTCCATTATATAGTAGAATACAGTATGTTTACATATAATGTAAACTTTCTAATTATAATGTATACTATATAACTTATTGCTACATGTAAAAATACAAAAAAACAGAAACTGAATTTAAAATGTTATCTTTGCAAGCTTAGGACTTTAAAACAACCTTTAAACTGATACATACCATTAGTGAATATTCTACACGAATGATACTACAGTCAAGAATAGATGGAGAAACTGGTGGAATTTTCAGTAATTTGCCATTCCACGTCTCTGTTTTTCCAGATGATAATGACTCCCCTCGTAAATTAGCCACAAGCTGTTTTACTTCCTTCATTTTCCCTTTGGCATAGAAGGCCTGTGTTTGGTAAATGGCTGCCTTTGGCACCACCATTCGGGAAGAGCAATTCTCAATCTCAGCAAATATCTGAATTGATTCACCTAGACAATGAAAATAAATAATGTTAAAAACTATACATGTATACAAAATCATTAAACTGACAAATGTATTACTGTATATATTTTCACAGTTAACACAAATTAAAAATGCAGATTCTTAAACTACAAAGTCAACCAGACGGTAAGTGTAACTACATGTTCTCTGACATTCTCACTGTCATCAAGTTAGAATTGACTCATAGTTGACCCTCCAAGGGGGTTTTCAACACAGGAAATTGTTCATCTTTCTCCTGTGAAGCAGCTCGTGGATTCAAACCACTGACATCTGAGTTCGCACAAAACTCCTTAGGCACTAGGCCATCAGAGTTAGGAATGATAAGTAACTATAACTATAAAAATGAACTACTCATGTATAGTAACTATTTGATGAAATAATATCCCAAATTATAAATGGAAATTTGATAATCACATTCATGTTATATCACCAAGAATACTGTATTATGTCTGCATTTAGTAGAACTATTACACATTTATACACAAAAGCTAAAGAAAGATTTGTAGTTTCTGGTGGGAATCTGTTACTCACATACCTGGGGTATAGCCCTTCCTTTCAATTTTGGCACTTAAGGATATTGGGCCTGAGGTACAGAACCAGCAACAGAGAGTCTTTTCTTTTGTGCCTGCTTGGGGTGACTGCAAGAAATAAATTTAGAGAAAAAGATTAGTGCATAAATTGGAACAAGTAAGAGCATTCTAAGATACACTATATTCTTGGGAGAATTTTAAATTAACATTTTTTGTGTTTTTGTGAATCTTTATCTTCTTACCAAATTGCTTGTTACTTTTGTCTTAGATATAAATTTCTATTGAAGTAAAAGGGATATAGAGGGTAATTATCATATCTCATAAATATTATTTTAGTCAATACTGTTTACATATATAGAACTTTCATTTTATTGTACTTTGTTGACAATGCCTTCTTTTTAAATTCAAGGCTTGTGGCAAGCATTTTCTCTGTTATTAGTTACTCACTTTACATCTCTGTGTCACTTTCTGGCAATTCTTACACTACTTAATAGATATAGTATAAGCGTAACTTTATTATCTACTGGGAAAACAAACATTCTTCCTTTATTTACTGGAGTTACTGGGAATTGAAGTTTTTCTGAGGTATACTTATAAAGCAATTCAAAATAAATTAATCAAACAAAAAAACCCTATCCACATATCTTTAAAAAAGGCAACAACCACCGTTGGTTATAATCTCAATGTTAAAAATTATTAAGAATATGAATGTCATTATTAGAAAAGGGAAAGCTCCTCATTGTTAAACTTAATTCCTATTTGCTTTTAAGATGTTTTTTGTTTAAACCACGTAATTCTGAAATAATTTCACAAAAAAAATAATTAAAAACAGAAATTTCCTACATGAAAGTTATAATCTCCCCATCAGTTGACAACTATCCCTATATTGGAATAATAAAATAAACTACAAAATAAAATTATCTTTAAAATGATTGTTGTACAGTAATATTACTGTTCCTTTTACTGAAATTAACCAGGGAACAGATTTCTTTTTTGTGTTGCTGTTACTTTCTGAATAAGAGGGAAGTTCTACAATGTACAGATCTTATTTACTTAAAATTACTATAATATCAGAAAATTTGAGCACATTATTTCAATAATTTGAGTGCTTTTGATGGCATTTAGAAATTGTTAATTTATAAAATCTAAGAGTCATTATTTTAAAGCTATTAAGGTTATGTAAGTTTTGACTGATTATTCTTTTGCATTAAATGCCGAAAAGAAAGAATGAAGAATTCAATCAATTCTTACCAGTAATGAAGGAGTGTTGATATCTATATGCTCAAAGACTGTAAATTCCTTCTTTAATTTTACTGGTAGAAGCCAAGGCCTGTGCAATTCGGCTTTCACCCAATAGCGCACACTGCCATGTCGGCCTTCGAATGAGGTAGCAAGTGGTCTGTGTAGAATATAAAGGTCAACATATTAATTGTATACCTCTTTCTAATAATTACATAGTAAGTCAGCATAGCAGTGTTATACTTTGTACTGTTTAAATGCCAATGAGGTATAAACACAATTTTAAGTTTCCAAAGGGATAAGTCATTGGGGAAAAAACTTTTCAATTAAACATTTATATAGTTAAGTATTACAGAGAATCTGCTTTAAAAGTGTGAATATAATTCTTTTAAAATAAATAGAGGCTAGTTTTAATGCTAATGGCAAAATATGAAAACTTACAAATTAACAATTCTTTAAAAGATCAAGAACTTAATATTACAGTGTTCCACTTCTCATTAGATAGAAACTATTACCTCTTTTTATACTGACTCCCTCCCCTCCATTTTTAGATTCTTCCACTTTAACAGAGAAAAAAATGCTGTAGTTCAAATCTCTAACAAATTATCTTTGTCTTTGAAAGTATTCAGGCTCAATGTGTATTCTATCAGTAGACCAGGGAGCTCTGGTGGCTTAGTGGTCATGAGTTGTGCTGCCAACACAAAAATATGTGGATCAAATCCATCTGCTACTCTGTGGGAGAATGATAGGCAATTTCCTCCTATGCGATTTACTGCCTCTGAAAACCTGCTAGAGGGTCAGCTATGACAATACATAAAAACATCCACAGACTAAGTGTCTTTCTCTCAAAAAGCAGATTAAGACATTATATTAAGAGTTAGGCTCTGAAGTAATATTGTAGCTAGAATACTACTACATAAAATACTAATTTATAAATTCTGAACACATAACAACTCAGTATCCAAATTAACAAATCTAAAATTATGTACATTTTAGCATTTGATAAATTCTTATGCAGCCTTAGCACAAGGGCCTCTTACAGAGTTTTAAACCTGTTAAAGGCATTACCAAATAAAGTTTGAATGGTCTCTTTTAACAATATAACTTTTTATTAATAAAAGTACCGTTTTCCTTTCATACTAGATTTTATAAGTTTCATGTTAAAAGCATCTCTAAAGAATGTTTCCTTTTAAGGCCAGGTCATACATAGTATTTATTTTGTGACCTTCCCAAAAGCTTTTCACACAGGAAAGTGTGAATTCGAATCAAAAGAAGACCAATTATAAATGGAGGATTGATTTTATGATTTCAGTTTCTAACTTAACTGTTACTGTTTTAGAGTCAGCAGAAAAGCTGAACATGGAAATTACTACACTAGAGATTTAATGTGTTTTCTCTTTTCTGAAAATGCTGAGTGGAAATAAACTACATATTTACAAAGCAAGTATTATATGCTTTAGCATCCTCATTCATTCATGTTAAATGAAACACTATAGTCACGTATTAAAGATTGCATGTAGCACTGCAATCCCAGAGGAACACGGTTCGAATCCACCAGATGCTCTGCCGGAGAAGGAGGCGCAATATCCTCCTGTACCAGTCAGATCTGATTTGACGGTACATGTACACAAAATTAAAAAAAAAAAAAAAAAAACCAACAAAAAAACAAACACAAGGATTGCATGTGTTTTCGGATAGAGCATCAAGTTTTGCTTTCTAGAATTTTGCCATGCTAGATAAAAAATAGCTTATGAATGTTTTGTATGACTGTTTATTCTCTTTAAAATATTTTTTTTCCCCTTTACGTATGACTGTTTTTTTTTCTTTAAAATAATGAAAAGGGGTTTTTCCTTAAAGGGAAAAAAAAAAAAAGTGTAACCTAGAATATTCAATTTTTTTAAAAAGAAGTACTTTTAAAACTATAGCTATTTATGAACCATGCCTATTCCTATGACACTTACGTCTGTGGAAGCTCAAAGCTGAATGCATATTCATGCCTTCCTGAATGAATAGTGTTGAAGCCTTCTTCGGAATTATCATCATCTAAAACAGTCAAAAAAAGAAAACAAAAACCAAAGGGAATGTTATTAAGCTCTGACACTGTTCTGATGATTACAAAATTTATCCGTCTAAGAGGATCCGAATTTTAATCTCAACTATCATTTTGATTCTATTTGTACAGCAGGAATTATATATATATATATTTCTTTTCTTAAAAAGCCACGAAATAACCCAAATTGTAGTCTTTATGTCAAAGACTAGTATCTGACCAACAAAAAGGTCTCCACCTGTGTACCAGTATGCTATGCTCAAAAGGTATGCGTATTGCTCATTTAAACCTTTTTAAATGTCCATTTTGGAGAAAAGATTCCCCAAATGTGAATAACATAACTTTATAACTAAACCACTAGAAGCTTTCAAATAGCTGGAGTTATTTTAAAGTCAGTTTCACACCTAAAATCACTGAACCTAAAATGCCAACATTCAAAAGTTTTTAAATTTTATTTCTTAGCCACAGCTGAACATATACTAGACAATTACTAAAGCCAGGATTTAAAAGATGCCTGCTTACTGGGAAACAGTATCCCATATCCTCCAAAAAATAAGCTGTTTCCAACTGCTGGGGGGTGGGGATATCTCAATTTCTTTTGGTCAACTGCATTATTTTTTGCTTGTGTACAAGCAAAATGTTATGGCCGCAGAATTCTAGATTTTTAAAGGCCGTTTTAACGTTCTGTACTAGAAATCATACTCTTTGGTCATATTTATCTAGTTTTCTCAAAGTAGAGGCCTTCAAAATTAACCAGAAGAGGAATAAAGACTAAGATCATTTAACTCCCCGCAAACTTGGAATATACACCACAATCTATGATGCATCTATGTCGCTGAACCATAAGAGAGAAAAAACAAAATAGTTAGAAATGTTGATTTTTATTAAAAAAAAGGTGATTAATTTACACGCTAAGTATTATTTTCCTTGTCTCATGTGTACATCCCGTTAATTTATTTCTGCACCCAAAACTGGCTATTGACTTGGGGGGGGTCATTTAAATCCTCTCCCCTCGAAGGCACCCAAAGTTTGCCTTCCTGTCCCTTTCTTCCCTTCTAGCTTCCTTTTTGTGCCAGCTCAGCAGTCTCATTGAAGCGAGCTGCGCGGCCGCGCGGTGGTAAACAAGTGCCGGGCTGTCAATCAAGAACTAGACCGGAGCAGGAGAGGACCGGCCTAAACCGGCGCGAGCAGATCCCAGCCGGCCCGCCCGCGCGCCGCCGTCGTCCGCGCGCTATACATACGGCATATGTAGCGCGGCGCTCGTACCCGAGCGCAGCCTAGCCTGCTCAACAGGGGGCGGGGCCAGCGCGCGGCAGCGCTTCCGCTTTACACGCCCCAGCCGGCGACCGGTTCGATCTGGCTCGGGCCACCCTGACACCTTTACCGTCTGCAACCGGGAAAGCTGGGAGGTTTTAAGGGGGTGGAGGCGGCGATGATACCAAGAGACAATGGCGGAAGGGCGTAAGAGCTGCTTCTAAAATCCAGACTTTAGTCTTAATTAGCATTTCATCTTTCTCCAGTCAAATCTAGGTAGCCAGTCTGTGGATTTGCGTAATTGGGCTACACTTTGATTCAGCTTAGAGGATAACAACTTGTAGACAAGCCACACTTGCACTGAGGGGGGCTCCTGCTACGTTACCTACCCCACCTCTGAATAGGATTTCCTGTTAGGAGTTGCATTCAAGGCCATTCAGCACCTTTAAAGTAACCAGAAGCTATCCCCTATCAATTTGATAAATGTGGAATTAAATTTTTTTTCGGTGTCCCCAGAAAGTGAGCGAGAGGGGTGATTAAGTAACATAAACCCAGGGTGCCTCCAAATGCCCGAGAGGGCTGCGAATAAGGGCGGAGGCAGCCCCTCTGGAAGGACCTTTCCGGCGCACGCCGGTTCCAAGCCTCGCCCTAGAGCCCACTCTCCCCATCCGCCCGCGCCCAATCCAATCAGCGCCTGGCATCGCCTTAGCAACAGGCTAACAAACCCGGCTCCGCCTATCGCAGGCTGCCCGAGGCGGGGTTTCAGTTACCAGGCTAGTCTGAGAGGTCCCAGTTTTAAGTCATTGAAACTATTCCAAGCTAAACGCTCGTCCACACTTTGCAGGGGTTAGGGAACATCTTGGTGTGGGTCACGAAGTTTTTGTCATGGAATCATAGTGCAACTCATTAAATTGCATTGGTCTCTATACTGACTGTTTTATTTTCCCCTATTGGGAGTTGTACAACTCCTTAAGGAATACCCCCCCCCACCCTTTTTGTTCCCTTCCATCCATTTTATGAAAGGCTGCAATCTTCTAAAAGGTTCACACAAGCAAACTCGAGTATCAGCAAATACTAGGGCTGTCACTAGGCACTTGCATTATGTATCACTGTTAATTAATGCTTGGAGAGATTAATGAGCAATTTTCGGATGCAAACTACCTACGTATGCTAGTGAGATTCATATTTAAAAAATAATCTCATTTTGTTTTCAAAAACAATCTATTAAAGCTCCAACTCAAATCATACTTAATTTGTACACTTGCGATAGTTCAATTAGCACTTAGCTAAAGATGTATTTTCTTGTAAATGAAAAAGGTAAAATTATATTTATGAAAGATCGTCAATATCTGAATCAAGTGCTGCATAAAAAAGGAGAAGCACCAAAATTACATAACCAGTTTTAACATTATATTCTTCTTGGGCTAGGAATTAAGTCATCGCCACCACCTGACGCGTGTAACCAATCTGCTGAGAGCAGAAGGAGCGCCCCTCCTCACCACCCCCCAGAACTGGTCCGAAACAGGATTGAACCGCTTCTAACAAAGGGTGGAAACTTAGAAAAACAAGCTTAGAGTCGCCTATATTTCCACAATGTAACCATTTAAACAATAGATAGGGGCTCTCAGGTCCCCCTTCTCTCTTTGACAACCCTTCATCTCCCTTTTCGAACCAAAAATCAAATCCAATGTGCCGAATACTTTTCAATTCCAATTGACTGGCACAGGTTTCATTGAATGTACGTTCCAAAGTTACACATAATGTTGGGAAAAGAAAATGACTGACCTCAAATGACTGTTAAAGCTGACTTTCAACCTTTCATAATGGTAGATATTGCCCTTTAAAATAAAGAGTGCTTGATGTAGATTTCGAAAGGATTTGTTTAGAATAGGGCAAAACCCCACACACACGTGCGGTGTTGATACCATATGTCAAAATAAGCCATGGGAAACCCTTTCTTAAAGAACAATGATCAATCTTTAAAGTCTTCTGCGTGTCATTATTAATAATGAAATGTAGCTATTGCACACTTTGAAATACTCCATGTCTTCATTGAAACTCAGTTTTTTTGAGCTAAGGCTGTAACGTGAAAGGACCGAGCTGCAGCTTTTAGCAATTCACTTGAAAATAAACTAGAAATATTCCTGAACAGGACTGAAGCAGAATTTCTAAGTAAGGTGCAGTCCATTATTGCAAGTGCGTACTAGAGGTAGTTGAATTAAGTGCAGTTTGCAGTCACTTTGCAGATGTCTGCATGCATTATGGCCAATACACGATAAATGTCAAGGAGAACCCCAATCTTCTAACTTTGCTAGCCTTTATCAAACTGCTATGTGTTATGTTAGAAACACAATTACAGACAAAAAAGAAAAAAATACTTTCCCAAAGAAAACAAATCTAATGACTTATGATTAATAGAAAAACTTACCTCTTTCGTGCCCAATTAAGATGTCTTTATGGTTGAAATATTCTACTTCTTCAGTGTAATTCTGTGTGTAGGCAGTATTGGAGCCGGCGTTTCTAGATTCGGTCCAGCGTACTTTCGCATGTCCTCTTGCATGAATTTTAAGAGATTTTACTCTGATTTCCCCAGTAACTTCTAAATTCACCCTTCCTGAGACTGTATCCCCACTAGAATACACAGGGACATTGCTGTCATTAAGACAGTCAAAGCTTATTGTCAAACTCTTAACCTTTCCCAGCACCATGGTTATAACAAAATCTATAAAAATATAATGTAAGACCAAAAAAAAGTCAAGATTTCACATAAAATGTGATCTTCACTGAACAGTGATCGATGTCTCTGCCGTGCAAAATGCTTGCAGGCAAGATCAGCGATTCCTTACAAATAGTTCATTGAGATTTCTTAAAAAGTCAGGGCAGCAGAAAGGCTGCTGCTCCGCGCTGCTGCTAATCTCACTGGTCTCGGTACAAAGACGGGCGGCTGAAGCCTGCCAGCTCACTTTAAGAGCAGCTTTGTGGAAAAACAACCCCAGTGCGCACGCGCACGCCGCGACTGCTGTCCGCCCTCTTTGCGCGCCCCCTCCCGCGCGCTTGGCTCGCTCCCTTGCTCGCTCGCGGGTACAGTAGGTGTCGAGTTGGGGAAAGAAGACACTGGGGCGGCTGGGAGGCTGAACCTGACTTCTCTTCATTGAGGGCTCCTATTGGTAGGCTGACTACCGTAAACCTTGATATCGCGATCTCCTTCCAGAGCACACTTTTATGAAGAAGATAATGGCAGAGGGGGCCTTTAAAGGACATGGGTTGGGTGGGGAGTTGTCTGCAAAGCCAACTAAGGATAAACTGCTGACTGACCGGCTCATAGCGTGCTTTACCGGCACTGCACGGTTTAGTAAAAAGTGATGGTGTGAAAGGAGATGGAGGAAGGGTGAAACCGGTTGGGCAAGCGTCTGGTTACCCGGCATACTCTAACGAATTTCCAAAGAGAACCTAATTAAAAAAGACAAGAATTACTGTTCAAAGACATGAACATTTTTTACTTGGAAGGGGTGTTTTGGTTTTTTATTCCAGTGTTTTGTAGACAGGGAGTCGAGGTCAAAGGAATATGGAAGGATCAAGGAAGAGAAGCTGGTACAACTTAAAAGCTTTTGCTTTCTCTTCAACCGCATTCTCCTCCATATCCTAATTAGTAAGGGGGAAAAGCAGCAAAATTGTTTTTATGATGACGACGGAGGAACAAGGGTTGACCACTACCTAGAAGAAAAAACAGTGTTTAAGTCTTTTTATTTAAAGACACCACTTACAACTAGTTTTGCAGGGTGTAACATGATTTAGACTCCTGTGTTCAGAGGAGTAATAGAATTGGACCTAAAACAGTACCACCTTCTAAATGGCAGCATGACATAGTGGTTTCGCTGACATGTTGTTTACAAGAGGATAGAAAAATCTGTTAGGAATTTGTTCAGCACAAAAGATGGCCTTTCAAAAGCACGATGTGATATTTGAAAATGGAGCTTAATTCTGCAAAGTATTTCAGTTTTCAACTGAGTCCCTTGAACTGTTCAACGTGATGATTTTCTTGTCTTGAAAATTGTGAATGTCTTGGTAAAAAATAATAGAATTATTCTAGGATTCAAAGCATAACAGCAAGCAGAAATGCCTTATAATAGAGGGGGAAATGACCAAATACCCTTTGTAGGGTTTTTTTTTTTTTTTTAGCTCCGCACGTTTAAGTACTTAAACTTATTTTTTCAAATATTAGGTTCATAGGTTGTAATCAACCAATTCATCTGTTTTAGGAGCAATTTTAGTTGACAAGGCAGTATCTTAAAATGAAGATACGTAGCATAGAGTACACATATACATATTATTGGACAAAAAAATGGGAAATATATTTATTATCTCTGCTAGATTTTAGATTGCTTTCTTAAAATTATTAATTTGTGTATTTATTGTCCTTTTTCCCCCTCTTGGTTGACACCTGGTGGAAGTTTAAGTTAAAATACTTAGGCCTCTACAGTCTATGAGAACAGATTCTACCAGTGTTTTCTCGCCATCTAGTGGTAAATTTCTTGAATTTGCAAAAATGTCAGCTTGTTTCCTCTGCTGGTGGAAGTCTAAAATGGTGTAGCCAAGATGGAAAGTAGTTGGCTAATTGCTTAAAAAGTTGAAAATAGAAATGCCATTTGACCAGGCAGTTTCACTACTAGGTAGATATACTTGTTGTTGTTGTTTTGTGTCATCAAGTCGTCTGCGACCATAGCGACCCTATGTAAAGAAGCTCTGAAGCCTGCCCTGTCCTGAGTCAGTCTCACTAATTCTGACACACCAAATCCCATTGCTCCACTTACTCTATCAATCCATCTCATCCAGGGTCTTCCTCTCTTGTGCTGTCCCTCCACCTTTCCAAGCATGATGTCCTTCTCCAAAGACTGGTCTCTCCTGACCACGTGCCCAAGCTATGTGACACAGAGCTTCAAAATCCTAGCCTCCAAGGAGAAACTTGCTTTCATTCTCTCCAAGGCAGACCAATTTGTTTTCTTTTTTTAATAAATTTAGTTTGTTTATTTTGTAATTTGTTTTCTTGATGGTTCACGGGATATTCAAGACTCTTCTCCAGCACCACAATTCTAAGGCCTTGATTCTTCATCTGTCATCCTTAGTCATTGTCTAGCTCTCTGATGCATGATGTATATATATACATACACACACATACAACTACCTATGTTCATTGTAGTAGTATTTAGTATATCAAAGAGGTGGAAACCCACCCAAATAGATGACTGGATCAAGAAACCTAGTGCATTAACACAGTACTGTTGTTCATAGTGACTTCATAAACAATATCTAAACCTTACCATAATCTGTGTCATCCTTATCATCTCAGATATATTTGAGCACATTGTTACAGTCACTTAAGTGGCAATCCGTCTCTGAAATTATTCCTTTTCCACTGATCCTACACCTTTCCAAGACTGATGTCCTAGCAGTATGTCCACTGGAGTACCGTTGTTATGTGCTGTTGGGTCAGCTATGACTCATAGGGACGACCTGTGCTTTCCTCACCAACTCTGGACACACTTGAGCCTATTGTTACAGACACTGTCAATCCATCTTGCTCAGGGACTTCCCTCTCTTGTGCTGACCCTCTACGTGACCAAGTAGGATGTCTTTAAGAACTGGCCCCTTCCAAAGTATATCAGTTGGAGTTTTTGCCATCCTTACCTCCAGTGAGCACGCTAGTTGCTCTTTCTTCAAGACAAACCTGTTTGTTCTCTTAGCAGTTGATAGGATATTCAGTACTCTTCTCCAGCAGCACAACTCAAAAACATCAATTCTTCTTCTGTCATCCTTAGTCACTGTCCAACTTTCAGATACGTAGCATTAATAGTAAAGTGTATGACTCATAATAATCCTATGAACAGCTGACCTGAGACTTGTCATTGCTGTGCCATTCTCATCATCTCTCACACTTGAGAACCTATTGCTGAAGTCATCTTGTCAATACATCTCTTTTGGGGTCTTCCTCTCCTTCAGTGACCTTCCATCTTTCCAAATGTGGTGTCCCTTTCCAAGGAGTAGCTTCACCTAGCAACATGTCCGAAGGATGAAGGATGAAGCTTTGCCATCTTTGTGTCCAAGGAGCACTCTGGCTGCACTTTCTCCAAGACATATCTGTCCTTTTAGCAATCCATGGATATTCAGTAATAATCTTGTCCAGCACCACAATTTAAAGACATCATCTCTTATTTGTCATCTTTGTTCATTGTTCAGATCTCTGATGTAGAGCAGGTGATTGAGAAGACAATGGCTAAATCGCACTCACCTTATTTTTCAAACTAACATTGTTCCTCATCATTTTGGAAAGATACCTACTTGAGAGTGGACTTACCTAACATGGTATGTCTTGATTTCCTGACTGCTGGTGCCAATGGTGTTGATTGTTGATCCAAGCAAGATGAAATAATTGACAGCTTCAATTCTTTCTCCATCTATCAAAATGTTGACTGTTGGTCCTGTGGTAATGACTTTTGTTTTCTTAATGTTAAGATGTAACCCATACTGAAGGCCTTAAAAAAGGTCTTTAAAAAAGGTTGACCTTTTTTAAACACCATTTTTGTTTTTATAACTGAGATTTTAATGAAAGTTTATAGAAAACGTCAATTTCCATTCATTTCATTGGTGCACATTTTCCACTCTGCCCCCCTTCCCCAGTTTGCTTTTCTCTTTCAAAAAAATTCTGTCACTGTTGTACAACCTCCCCACCCCATCCACTTTACTAATGTAGCTTTTATTCTGGACTGTTGTCATGCAAATAATACCTAATAATATATTCCTTTTAAGCAGTTCTATTCATCATCTGTTTCAATGCAGTGTACATTATTTATCTCCTCTTTTCTTAATTTCCCTCCACCCCCCACGTCAGTCCTGTTTTATAACTTTGGCATTGTTCAGAATTTGTCCTTTTGTGGTTTTTTGTTTGTTTGTTTTATTAATTTTAATGAATGTTTACAGAGATTTTGGATTTCCATTCATTCATTGTTGCGCTTTTCTCCCTGCCCACCACTCCCCTGCAGTTTGCTCTTCTCTTTGAAAAGTGAAAGAGAAATTCTTTCATCGGTATGCAATCCCCTCCTCCAGCCAGTACACTCCACTATGCAGCCTTCATTCTGGACTCTTGTTATGACCATAATACCTAATCATATATCACTTTTAAACTGTTCTCTAGCTCATCTGTTTCAATGCAGTCTACATAATTTATCCAATTTTTCTCAGTCTCACCCCAACCCTGATGTCAGTCCTGTTCTACAACAGTGGCACTACCCAGAATTTGTCCTTTTGTGACTGAGATATTTCACTCAACGTAATGCCCTCCAAGGTCACCATTTTGTATAATATTTCATGAGTTCCATGTTTTTTTTAATAATGTATAGTATTCCATTGTGTGAATGTACCACAGCTGCTCTGTCTGTTTGTTGATGGGCACTTGGGATGTTTCCATCTCTTTGCTATTGTGAACAATGCAGCAATAAACATGGGTGTGCATATATCTATTTGGGTGGCAGTTCTGATTTCTGTAGGGTATATTCCCAGTGAGTTGCAAGCAACTCGATGGCACATAACAACAACAACATATTCCCAGTAGAGGAATTACTGGGTCAAATGGTATTTCAACTTGCAACTTTTTGAGAAAGTGCCATAATGCCTTCCACAGTGGATGCACCATTTTACACTCCCACCAACAGTGGATAAAGGTTCCAGTTTCTCCACAACCTTGCCAGCATTTGTTTGCCGCTCTGTTGAATTTTGCTCTTGTTACTGGGGTGAGATGATATCTCATAGTTCTTTTGATTTGCATCTCTTTTAGAACTAGGGGTTTTGAACATTTACTCATGTTTTTGTTTGCCATCTGAATTTGCCATGTCTTCTTTAGTGAAGTATCTGTTCATATCCTGTACCCATTTTG